CTAAATATGAACCCAAAAAAGGAACTACTATGGGGCCTCTGGGAGGTTCCTATATGTGGGTGGTTGTCAAAATTAGGGTCCCTTTTTGGGTCCTTATTATAATACGGCACCTAATATTTAGGGTACCCCCAAACGGGACCATAATTTTGACAACTACCCATATGTACGACCCTAATATAGTACCCTAAACAAAGGGATCCTTAATATAAGGAACCCAAAATATGGTACCCCTAATTTTCGGAAACTCCCGTATGTATCAAGCCCAAGCAATCCGAAGTTCCATGGCCTTCTCGCGCTCAACTTCCCCTTCCTCCGGCTCATACTTGCCCTTCATCAGCTTCTTGAACCTTTTTAGGGTTTCACTCACAACTGGGACCTTTTTAGGGTTTAGGGTTATAGGGGTTAGGGGGATTAGGGGGTTTAGGGTTTAGGGGTTCGGGCTTAATTAGGGGGTTTAGGGGTTCGGGTTTATAGGGTTTTGGGGTTTATTGAACCTTCAGAAACCTGGGGCTGAGGGATGGGCTTCGGGCTTCGGGGATTGCGCGACAATTTCAGGCTTTGGGTCGAGTATAACTTTATAACCTTATGCCTTCATTCTCAGGGAAATACAAGATTAAACTTTCAGAGTACTACAAAATTATAAAGCTCAAGAAGTTTTAAAGGTTGGGCATGGGGGAACTAAGTCTTGAGCCTTGAGCTTGAGGGTGTTTAATGCTGGCCTAAGAGCTTCTTCGGGTAGCCAGCTTGAGCTTCTCACCCTTGTATGGGACCCGGGACTGGCACTGCTGATGGCCCAATCCCACTTCCTTTATTTCTCGGAAGCTGCTTGGCATGACCCTCGTGTCCAATGCTGCACCCGAAGAGCAACGCGTGCTGGCGAACCCTGTTGCTGGACTCGCTAGTGACCGCTAGTGTGCCAAGCATGGCCAATCTGCCGACTTCGGCGAAACTTCCTCACCGTGCGCGTCAGTCAAACAAAGCTGAGAATTCCGGCTTCACCAGTTTTCGCTTCATGGTGGCCTGAGCGCCCTGGCTTGCAAGCGTGGATTCGATGATGTTCAGTTGAATCCTGAACTCTGGGGAGTAGGTTCTGGAGTGTTAAGAGATTGGGCTTCCAAAACCCCAATCCTATTACTTATTCAACTCTGGCTTCCCGAAATCATCCTAACCCCACCTGTAACCTCAAAAGCTACGTGTTATGGAAGTATGTCATGAAGAAGCGATCTGAAGAATACTACGCATGTATGATTTTGGGGGCTGCAGCCAAGGTTTAGGGTGAAGGGACTTTTCAGCAAAAACCTCCTCGATTCAAGTGGCACTCTGCGGTAGTACTCGCCGATGTACTCGTCGAGGCCACGTGTGGCGGACGGATCCTTGGGCGGATAGTGGCTTTGTAAACAGGGGCCGAAACAGTTCGAATAGGGTCTTGGGGCCCATTATAGTATGACAGTATCACACTATCAGCACTACAAACACATAGTGCTACTAATTGCCCAGGCGTCTATGTTCCATTCTGGGCTTCAAAGATTTAAGGGTTCGGAGCTTCAGGCCTGGTTCAGGATTTAGGACCTCGAGGGCTGCGGCCTGGGGCTTCGGTGCTCGGACTTTGTGGCTGGGGGGCGCTGAGTTTCAGGGTTTAGGGTTGAGGATCAGAAAAAATTTGAAATCCTCCTTCAACCCAACAGCCCGACAAACGGAACAAAGGTGAGACACTTCGGTCCGAACCGCCAAGCCTAAAGGAAGCAGCACCTCGAGGCCCGACGCCTATCTGCACCTGAGCCTGAACGTGAGTCTCGATGCGTCGTTTTGGTTTTGGGTTTCGGGTTTGGCGGTTTAGAGTCTTCAACCAAATTCGAATTCTGAAAGTGCTCAAACTGCCAGAGTCCGGTTCGCTGCAAGCAAGACTACGGACGACAAGGCCAGACGCTTCGTCGAAGGCCGCTATTTCGATGCTAGCTCATGGAGAACTTTTGATGAGCACTTGTCGTAAGGCCGAGGTGCCATACCCAGCAGTTGGTAATCTGTGTCTGTCATCTTCATTGGCGTGCCTGCAGCATCCACAACTCGCACCCACAACCGGACGGGGTACTGTGATTGCCGACGAGCATAGCATGAGCAACCGTGAATTACATGACGTTGCCCTGTTTTCCCACTTGTCAGCAACATAGGGGCTCAACACATGAAGAATAAGGTTTCGGGGTATGTTCTACCATGCTCGATACGCAACTACACAGCAACCCTGTGGCATAGTGTTGGTAATCATTATAAGGCTGTTACGTTAAGCACCCGGCCTGCAGACCCCAGCTGGTTCACCTCCACAAAGCGCAAGCGCTCAGCGACGTCCTTGGCAGAGAGATAGAGGCTAGCTATTCTTCCACATGGGCCTTTTAGTAGCCTGATTCAGAGCCGTAGGGTAAGACATGCCCAACATGACGCCACCGGACCGCGGTGAAGCCACCGATACCACACAACAGCCGAAGCCCTAAACTCGCAAGGGGAGGTTGATGCAAAGTTCGCATCTGGGTTTGGGGTTCAAGTTCACCTTCTCCCCGAGGTTTCGAAGATTTTGGCGTTCGGGCTTGGGCTTTTGACAAAACCTGGGCAAGCCTTCATTGACCCGATGCTAATTTATACCGGAAACTGGGCAGCCACGTCACAATGGACCAATCAAAGAACGAGGCCGCGCTCATGGTCGCCTGCATCTGAGCGTTGGAAACGGTGTTGATGTCTGCCTGCACAGGTGAGGCCGAACCCAAAATTCCACGGCCCGAAGTGCTAGTACAAGACTTACAATTTTAGGATTTAGGGTTTAGTCAGGGTTTCAGGGTTTCAGGTCCTATCGGAGGTGGAGGACCCATACCTAAGCCCGTAAACCTGTGTGGAACCCCTTCTGCTGCCCTTAAAGGAGCCGCCCATAGCAGCGTCTCGGAACCTCATGGGAACCCTTCTTATTCTTGGGCGTCCCAAAACACCTAAAGAAAGGAACCCTAAACTCTAAAAAACCAAAACCCTCAGGGTTTGGGGCTTGGGGTTTAGGGTACAACGCAAGAGATAAACCGTAACCCTCAAAACACCGCAAAGGCAACTCAAAAGGCAAAAGGCCCAAACCCTCAACCCTATACCCTAAACCCTACACCCTCAAACCTAAACCCTACACCCAAAGCCCCAAAGGCACCTCCCGCCCCGACAGCTTCTCACAAAGCTTGATGACTTCGTTGGTGGACCAGACCTGGTCGGCAGCGTTGAGGGGTTTATGACATTTGGGTTTTTAGGGGGTTTTACGGGTTTAGGGTTTGGGGTTTAAGGGGGTTTAAGGGAGTTTAGGGGTTTTCGGGTTTAGGAGTTTAGGGTTCAGGGTCTTAAAGTCTAGCGGTTTTGCTGGTTTAGGGTTAGGGGTTTAAGTGCTTTGGGTTTAGGGCATTAGGGCATTGGGGTTCAGGGTCCCAGATTTCTGTACAGGTTCTATAAGGTTTCTATCTATTCGGACGTTGAGGTGAAGACAGTCGAGGGATCATGGGTGTAGGGTTCCATCAGGGGTTCTATAGGTGATAGCACCCTGAAAGTTCCGTATTCGTACTAACGACTAACAGAAGAAGGCTTGGTTTCTGTGTATTTGTGGGTTATGGTTTAGGATTTTAGGCTCAAGGCCTGCGGGTTAAGGAAATTAAAGGCCCAGGGCTCAGGCGGGCTCAGGGCTGAGATTCGAGAGGGCTTTAAAGGACGAGCGCCCTGTCGGCAGGGCGCTTAAATGCTGAGTCATCGAGGCTTTAAGGATATGTAGGGGGCCAGGTGCCCCAAACCCTGAAGCCGACCACCCTCAAAATCCCAAACTTGTGCCCTGAGGGCCTGGAACCGACATAGTTTGTTTTGTTTTTTTTTAGCTATCTTAATATTATTATAACTGTTAGTATTAGTTCTAATGGTTAATTTCCGTGCTGGCATGAGAAACAAGGAAAACCTACAAATGTCCTTGCCATGAAGTTGACAATTTCCTGGGCCGCGTGTGCTAGATCCTATAGCGAAACCCCAAGCCTTAAAGCTACGTTTAGGGTTTATATAGGTTTGGGGTTTAGATTACGGGTTTAGGGTGTAGACCCAAATCTTAAGCCCTAAAATGTCCCAATGCGCCTTGGGGCCCGTCAGCGTCAAGGTCTGGCCGACAGTGCGCTCCTGCGAATTTCAATCATTACGCCTCTGTTGGATTTACGGTTAGTTATGGCTCAAAAGACTTAAGTAATTAATGATCTCGGGTTGAAGCTGGGTCTTCAGGATTTAGTTTTGGGCCTAAGGATCTCAAAAACAAAATGTTTTGGGATGTATAGGTTGTGCAAGCGCCGGCGCAAGTCCCGCGGGCCAACTTACTGTGGCGGCATTCGCGAGGAATCCATGGTGCTTTTTCGGAAGTGCTGGCGTCTTGTGGAGAACAAAAAACTCTTTTCCGTTAAACCTCGTCTCAGACCTTTGTTTTCGTCCCGCGGAGCCTGCGCATTGCACTGCACCCTCGGCGCCTGCCCTAAACCTTACCCCCAGAACCAAGCCGTTAGCCTCAAACCCAGCAGCCGCGAAATCCCAAATCCGATCTTCTTCTCCAGGCCGCACAGAGCCCGTCTGTACACATATCGAAACCCAAAAGCCGTCTGTATAAACACCATACAGAAACCCCACCGAAGCTAAATCAAACAGCCGTGTCAAGGCCATATATACACTTCTTGAAAAACCTAGTTAGTCAACAAATGTAATACATGAAATTGAGAAACGATGTGCTAAACCCTGAACCCTAAAGCCAAAAAGCCTGAACCCTAAACCCCTCGAAACCCCTAGCGTTTGAGCCCTAAACCCCCAACCCCTAACACCCAAAACTCCCACGTCCCAAGACTCTTCATAATAACCCAAAAACCCTTGAAACCCTAAACCCCCCAAGACTCCTGACCGTCCTAACCAACACCCTCATAACCCTGAACCCAGACTAAACCCTAAACCCTCATGACCCCTTCTTTTGAGCAGGGATTGCAATGCACTAAGCCCTGAATCCCTTCAGCCAAGCTCCTGACTCCAGCGCTTATGGCACCCTCATGGCCCTAAACCCTAAACCCTTCAGAGAGCCCAGGCCTTGACCATGGCGGAGGCCGTCCATCGTGCGACATCCTGGGAGTCCACGTAGGCGATTCCTGCGGAGGGGGGCTCCTTTAAGGGAGGGCTCTTTTGGGGAACCTGGGTCGTTGGTTTTTTAAGGTTTAAGGTCGTATGGGCTTCGGGGTGTAGTAGAAGTTGTAGGGTTTAGGGCTGAAGGTCTGTAGGGTTTAGGGTTTAGGAGGGTGCAAAGGCTGCAGCGATTTGGTTCCAGCGGATTTGGGTGGAGGGTCGGAAGGTCTTCAACGGGCTGGACTTCGAGCTGAATCAATGGGCATCTCTTCAGGGATGTCTGTTGCTCGTTATGAAGGCGGCTGATTCCGAGTGGACTTCCCCAAAAGGCTCTGGAAAATTCTGACGACATCCCGAAACCTAACAACCAGACACAAACCCCAGACTCTGAAGCACTGAGGCGGGATTGCTAAACACGCCTACAACTGGCGGCTTCAAGGCCTAAGAATGCAAACTCCCGCCTGGCATGCTCCCATCGTCGCCCCAGACTTTCTGGTCGTCCAAGACGCAGACGGCGTATCTGGGCGAGTTGAGAATGGAGACATCCTTTCGAAGAAGCCAAGTGCCCATCTCCCAATTATTATCAAACCCTAACCCCTAAACTTAGGCCCTAAACCCTTATTGTAAGGGTATGTGCAGGCTGTGAGGATAATAGATGGCTTCTCTTCCAAGTTCCACGACCCGAATGCCCTAAGCAGCCCTACACCGAAGTGGCATGAGATTCTCTGAAGCCCTTGCTTACGTTGGGTGCTTCTGGTTGTGCCGGGGTTCCGCTATCTGCTGTGTTTTCTGTTTGGCATCAGAGGTTCATGGGGAGTCTCCTGAACCTGGTCTACATAGTTGCAGCCTCACCGTATTTCTCCGTCGTAAACTCACACCCGGAAGCTCAAGACATGGGGACCGCAAGCCAGCCTCATCGATATCAGCAGGTACCCTGTGTACCGTAAGGGCCCTACATTGGGGTCCCATAATTTTGCGTGAAACTCCCAGATTCAACCGAAAGATGCTGCCACTGCTACACAAAAGCAAAACTTCTGTGTGCCCCCCCAACAAAACGGCTAATTCAGAAGACCTCACACGCCCAACAATGAAATGCCATGACCCTGAGGCTTGAAAGCCTCCGACCCTGTTCAGTAAATTCATCTTGAACTAGCTGTAACTAGCTCGTTTCTGAACATGAAGCTCACTGAAAGCTCACCCTTTTAACCGCAAGCCGAAATACCTTGAAACTAATTGCCGAACCCCAAACTCCGAACCCCACAAATGCAGCCTAAACCCTAGAGCCTACGGGTGCACCTTAAACCCTGAACCCTATAAACCTCATGGACTGATCCCAAACCCTGACACCTAGAACAGTACCCTCCGCCCTTAAACCCTGAACCCTACAGTTGCACCCCGAAACCCTGAGCCCCATGTTGCAACCTACTTCTACTATAACGAGAATAAGGAGCCCCACAATCGTAGTCCAATCAGCTGCTGAAACCTTGAACCCGATGTCTGCATCTAAACCCCGGACCCTAAAACCTTGTTGTACTAACTTGCCGTATGGAGCCCCGAAATCCTATTGGTCATTATCTGGGCCCCGCTAAATCCTATGTCTAAACCCATTTATACTATAACCATAATAAGGAGCCCCGCAATCGTATTGCTCATTATTTAAGCCCCCCCCAATAGTCTAAACCCTAAACCCTTCGATTTGCCGGGAGGCTGGGAGATCAAGGGCTGCATGAGGCCGCTAATGCCTGGGCTTCTGAGCTGCCGTAGGAGACAGGGCTTAGGGTAGAGGGCTTAGGGTTAGGGTTTAGGGTTTAGGGTTTAGGGCTTTTTGCCTCCTAGATAGCAAGGACACGCCCGCATTTAGGGCTTATAGGGTTTAGAGTTCGGGTTTCGACTCACGCACTCGCACGAAGCAGGCATGGCAAGGAGACGTTCGAGTTTAGGGTTCAGGGTTGAGGGGCCATCTCGGGTTAAAGGGGTATAGCCTATAGCTCATAGGGCTCATAGGGTTTAGGGCGTGGATCGGTGTAATTCTGTGTACTTAGGGTATCGGCGTACAGGGGTGGCTTTCTAGCGGGTGTAGCGTATAGGGGCAGAGGGTGGGAGTTGGGGAGGGTGGGGACGGTGGGGTAGGGTGATGGCGGAGTTTAGGGGCTAGTGCCGGGTTTCGAGTCGTACACTCGCAGAGGGCAGGCGCTGATCCCGGTGCCTGTCATATGGACATTCCTGTGGGCGAAGTAGTGAAAACGATTTTCTGGATGTCACCGAGCGGAAGGTGTTGCGTGCTGCGCAGAGCAATTCATGAAGCAATAGCCTACGAAAATTCTCTGGCTGATCTGGGGCTGACAGCCAGGGATACCCATGGAAACTTGGAGGGGCTCACAACTTTCACTGCCGTCTCGTTGCGCAGCACCGTGTAGCGCAGGGTCGACTGCGCCAGGAACTTCTCGGTGAGGTACTTGATCCTACACAGCTCAATCGGCTCGCTACTTCCGCTATAAACTCCAACACCCGAAACTCTCGCAGTATCCCACAAGCTTAAAGTACCGGCCTTAATAATTGGAATAGGGTTTGGGGCATAGTATACTATGAAAATAATGAGGACACCCCCCCAAAAAAGAAAAAAGATAGTATTGGTAATTATGCAAACCCCTTGATGGAGCTTTGTGGGGATCTTGCAAAGGCATCAGATTTCTCATAGGTTTCAAGGCATTCGGCCTTCTTTTAAAAGCACCCAGAAGATCTTAACAACACATCTTTGAGCCAGACCCTTCGCAGGTGCCTCATGAGAGGGACGCTCTGATACTTGTCGCAATCCTGCGCATCGGCTGCAAGATGGAAGAGACACGGCTTAATTACCTCTACACGGGTATCGGGGTGGTTGCTTCCGCAGCTTGGAAAGCTGGAGCCCAGGCATTTGGGAGCTTCAGCCTTCGAATCCATACACAAGGTGTTCCTGGTCTGAGAAGCCTTACCCAACCCTAAACCCTAAACCCCTAAACCCCTTAAGGCCTAAACCGGTGGCATAGGTGCTGCAGGGCTTCGGGCCCTCAATCGCTCGACGACTTGGTATGCGACGATTCGGGTTCGGGGTAGACTTTCGGTCTTGATTCACCAAAAGCCTGGCCTGTTAAGTGATTTGACTGCAAAGAAAACCTTTTGGGTTCTTCATCGAGCTTTCATGCTAAAGCTAAAGGTGCCTGTTTGGGAGCCGCCCCACCCGTCCCTCCGCGAGCCTTGATGCTCAAGAAAACATACCTGTGCCGTGCAGCTCGGAGAACCAACGGGGTTAGGATCTAGGACTTCGTCTTAAAGTCGGGCTGCTGCAGCTGAGGGAACTGAACAACGGCTTCGTCGTGGGAACTCTACAGGCCATAAGGAAACTTGTGGCAGACCGTGGGCCGTGCAATGCAGAAAGATGTGCCCGGAAGCCGCCTGTGGTCCACATACATCTTCTAAAATCGACAAGGAAACTATAGAGACCCGAAAAATGGAGCAGTCAGTCAAAGAAGCGGAAACATGGCGATGAGAAATTATAAGAGCAGCTTGCAAGATCGTTCCACTCCTACGCCATCCGCAGAAGTAGAAGGCGGGCACTAGCTCAGAATCTGGCACAGGTTGCGTGTGTAAGGCAGACCACTCCCATGTCATAAGGCCCCCTCTCAACCAAGGGGCCCTGACAATTAGGTGTCTGGGTTTAAGATAATTGTAACAAGTTATAAGCGTAGCTTAATGGGTACCTGGGCCCTTTGAGAGCTCTTCAGCTGGGCCACTCTCCAGCTTAAACGCTAAGCGCTGCCCAGACCAAAAAGATACTGCCGTGGGCTCAGTGGGACCTTCTCTCAAGAAGCCCTAAACGCTAAAACCTGAGCCTTGAGCCCTAAACCCTAAGCCCTAAACCCAAAGCCCCAAAACCTTAAGAAACTCTCAAACCCAAAGCCCTAAACCCGAAACCCAAAGCCCTAAACCCCAAGCCCCAAAACCTCAAGAAACTCTCATGAGGGACTTTCCGAAAATTAGGGTACCGTATTTGGGGTCCTTATAATAAGGAACTGTAGAAGAACAGGTCTTCCGAATGACTTCTGTTGTACACTGGGATGTACAGCTTCACAAGCACAGAGCCATGTGCGAATTGGACACTAAACTTTTCACCACACAGAATGGACAATGCTTCATCGCTGCCTTGTTTCGGCGGACTACTGAGTCTATACAACATCTGTGTTATCGGTAACTTGCATCTGACATATCATGGAGCAATCTGCCTGCAGACATCAAAGGTTCACGCAAGGCTCACACTCCAGAGATTCCACACTCCTCCTTGACCCAGGAACTCCGTCCTTGGGTCACTAGAATGCGGCTGATTTAATTTCAGCTGCTCCACAGCCAAAGCTTGCAATGCAGAGCAACAGCTCCGCTTCATCATTTGCTCATAGGTGTCTTCTCGGCTCGGACCGGGACCTCTTGACATAGATCGGCTCATTCTTGGAACAATAGACGCAGTACTCCAGCTTGAAAACCGGTCCCGCGTTTCGTAGTCCATGGCACTGAGGGTCCGTATGCAGCTTAGAGCGATTCGAGTCCGTCTTGTAAAAGGCATCATGGGCCATCCGCTCGAAAGCTGCACCAGTAGGGTACATTGGCTCTGGACTCGAAATCACTCTCGAAGGCCTCGCTGTAGGATGAGGTTCTGGTGGAGGTGTGGTTTCCCCCGAACGCGCAAGCACCGCGCGGTCAACCTCCTCCTCAGCAGCAGCCTTGGCTGCTTCTCTTAGCTTCCTCAAGCGCCTTTGCTTGGGGGATTCTCTGCAAGCCTTTAGCACCCATTTAGTGCCATATTTGATGAGCTCCCATACTGTGACCGCTGTAAAACACACAAGCACCGTAACTAGCAGCAGCTCATCAACTCCTGCCATCTGGATTCTGGTGTTCGTGGAGTCGTTCGCAGTCACCGGTTGCATCATCATCGCCCATATCAAACAGGTCAGGTAGAGGCTCTTTGTATGCAGGGCCTGAATCGCTTCATCTGGTAGACCTCGGAATCCCCACAGAGAAAGCAGTTCCCAAAGGCGAACCTTTCCATGCATTTTTGTTGCCAAATCCGCTAGTTGACCGTTGCCTCCCACATGTTCTACGATCAGCTCAAGGTTCTCGACCTGCTCTCTGATCTTGGCGCTCCTGACCTTCAAATGTCGAGTGCGCCAACTCCCTGGTCCTCCAGCAATCATCGCAACTGCCGATGCGTTATCCACCAGAAGTCGTCGTGGAACATAAAGGCCTGCCAACTCGTCCAGCAAACATCCAATATTCTCGAGTAGCGTCGTTGCGGTTGAAGCCTCCAGTAGCTCTGCTTCCATGACCGATAAGGTAACGAAGGCCTGCTTGCTGGCTTTCCATGCTACAGGGTAGCCATTCACTGTAACCACGGAAGCTCCAAACGATTTTTCACCACTTGGCGAGAAACTCGCGTCGCTCCACGCGACGAGTTCGGGCGTAGTCTGCTGGCACTCGTTGTCCGCCTTGTTCCCTATGACCATCTTCATTGATGCCGTAGTCTTCAGGTACGCTAACAAACGCTTGGCAATTTGGACAACGCGGTTGGGGCACTTGCTGACTTTGGAGGCCATGTACGCTACAGGAAACTGCAAGTCTGGTCTGCAACGCATCATCAACCACAGCTGTTCGCCCACTGCCTTCTGGCCTTGCTTGAGCTCGGCAATGGTGTAATTCTCCTCCTCAGAGTCATCACCTGCCAACCATTCTCGCGGACACGGAAGCTTCGTAGACAGGGCATCTTCCATTCCATAGCTGCGCAGCAACTCCCGGATGTACCCTTCCTGTGATAGCTCGAACGCGAAGTCTGGCCTTTGCTGTATCTCCATTCCCAGATACCGGGTTCCGGTAGGTCCATCTGCCCATTCCAGCTCGCTACAGGGCCAGGCCTCTTGGATCCAGGCGTGGATTGCTTCAATGACCGGCCTATCCGACAGAGGTGATGATAAGGGCCAGTAGGCTACCCTTTGACCTCAGCACATCATCCTCGTCGAAAGCAAGCCATATCTCTGAATCTGCAGAGGACTGCTTCAGCACGATAGTGCGACCTTGGAATGATATGCGGGCTTCTTTTAAGCGTTGGGTTCTGCACTTCGCCCAGATGGCCGGCGATTCACGAAGGCCGTACAGAGGCCGCATGACTTCCCATACTTCATCACCCCGCGCAAGTCCAGCATCGATGAGAACCCTCGGAGGGAATATTGCATACCTTGCTAGATGGTCTGGCCACGAAGCCAGGAGAAAGGCTCCTGTGACGTCGGAGGTTCCACCATACCAACGTTTGTGGGAAGCATAAGCTAAGGCTAGCCGCACTGTGTCGGCGCTCAGCCCGCTGGCATACAAGCTGAAAGTTTCGTCATCACGGTCAACTTGATTCCCACATAGGACGAGTCGAAACTTTCTCCTCACCTTCTTGCCCTTGACCTGTGGTGGCTTCAAGGTGAAGACGCCCTTTGACTGTACCAACTTCAAAAGGCCTTGAGCTTCCATCTGCTTTGCACGGGCAATTGGCATGGGCCTTAACGTTCCATCCAAGAGCTGGGTCACCTCTTTCTCCAAAGCTTCCCGCCACTGATCCAAAGCAGCACGAACTTGCTGTAGAGGAACTGTGTGGACTACTTCTAGATCTCCATCCAACTCTTGTAGAAGTCTTTCATAGTCCGGTTCCTCTTGCACCATTGCTGCTTTCAAACATGCTTCTGATGAAGCCTTTCCACCGGCCGCCTTCAGCTGAGTAACCTCGTCCATCATGTCCTCCAGGTAGGCTCGCACGTTGTCCACTTCATCATCTACTTGTTGCCCTGCTCGGCGACATTCCTCAGCAAGGATCTCCTCTTCCTCTATCATCATCCTCAGACGCTCAGATCTCTCTTGAAGATCCTCGAGAAGCTGATTTTGGCTTTCTGTAAGAGTGAGTAGCGCATCATCCAGAGTCTCGGCTTCTGGGGAATCCATCGCCCTGATGAGATAGAGGTCACATTGATCTCCCATGCTGCTCTCTCCCTGCGGACCATGATTGTGGATCACGTTGCTCTCTGACTG